ATGTGTGTTTTGCGTGACTGCTAAAGCATGTGTATGTTACTATGCTTATCAACTAGGGGACCTACGCTCTTAAGTCATAAATGACAGTAATGAGGATCAAATGCCCCACAAAAGGGCACTAATATATAGCACATCGACACAGTTTTGATCCTGGGGCCTCACAGTTACGAGGCCTTTGCTTTGTCACTGAACCATGACTGTACGCAGCGGGGCTAGGGTAGAGGGTGGTTTCCATAAATAAAAAACACACAGAAAATGCAATAAATTTTCAATAATTGATTGCATTTTACCCCGGTCCCCAACATACAAAAATCCTCTGTGTGCCCATGCCTTGAGCCATAATGCATGGCCAATTCTTTATACTCTGTATTGTGTCTCCTATTTTTCCAAGATGTTTTCATAAATAACTTTGAAATCGCAGTGTAAAAAACTAAATATTTTTGCCGTAATTTGGTCATAGAAATTGATGATTAATTCGGAAAAAATGCTGATTCTCTAAACTATGAATAATTAACCCTTACTGTACTGGGCTATTTTGAGCACCTCCTGACTGGGGGGGGGGGGGGGGGGGGGGGGGGGGGGGGGGGGGCCTGGGAGGCCCCCCCCCCCCCTATGATCTCGGCCGTCGGATGTCCGATGAACACGAAAATTTGCATGTTTGTAGATATTTACGTAACGAACAAGATGGTGTAATTAGTTTTTTGCAAATATGCAAATTTTTGTCGTTATAGCCTAATTAATTATGCAAAATGCTAATTTTATGCATTTTACAGAAAACGTGTCAAACTTCACTTTTTGAACGTTGAAACTCATTATTCATATGAAACTTCTTTTCTAACACAAAATATTTATTTGGATGTAATTAATAATGATAATTTATGCAAATTTGATGCGATTTTCAAATAATTATTTTCTTATGTATTTTATTGTTTTTTTATTTCTTATTATATCTATTGTTTTTATTTCTTATGTATTCTTTTGTTCTGGAATACATCAAGTTACTTTGAGAAACACATAAAAGCAATTCGATATCAATTCATATCACCCACTTAGGAAGGAATACATCTATATAAACCTGTATTCACAGTTCTGCTTGTACATGAATATATGCAATTATAGCATATTTTTGATGACATGCGCATACTAATTGTTATGTAACACCTCACAGGTATATCCGATTGCGACGAAAATGGTATCAAAACGTGCGTAAGACTTGAGGGAAAAAAGTCATGAAACGACAATTCAAAATTTCAAGCGGTTGCGGCGCAATCTCCGAAAATGTCGAGGGGGGGGGGGGCCTCCCAGCCCCCCCCCCCCCCAGTACAGTAAGGGTTAAAGATTAACTTGAAAATTGCCAGCAGCAATACATTTTTGTGGGAAAAGGGGAAAGTAATCATTTGAAAAGACACCACGTGGTGCTGATGGGGTAAGATATGAAAAAGAGAGGACTGATAGAGAGAGAGAGAGATAGAGAGAGAGAGAGAGAGAGAGAAAGAAAGAGAGAGAGAGAGAGAGTGTGTGTTATTGGAAAGGAGGTATAGATAAAGTGAAATAGGGGCAGAAAAACAAGGGGGCTCTTATCATACAGATCTTTTTTAAAACACAAAATAATGAGGGAGTAGGGGAACAAGTGTCACTTCTTTCTTCAGAAATGAAGATTAGGTTTGGACGGATTCTAGAAACTAGCAACTTGATGTATAAAGATTTAAATCTTGATAATTAATGAGACAAACTATAAAGATAATATTAAATAGATGAATTTTAAATAAACATGAAATATATAAATAAACACATCTGTAAATGGCGAGTATTAATGTTATAATTAAAATTCCATAATGTACATTTTACACCGTCCTACCCTCTTGTCTCTCCCTCTCTCTCTCTCCTTTCTCCCCCCCTCTCTCTCTCTCTCTCTTCCTCCCTCCCTTTTTTTTTCTCTCTATCCCTCCCATTCCTCTCTCTCTCTTTTCCTTCACTCTCTCTCTCTCCCCCTTTCTTCCCCGTCTCTCTCGCTAGATATATATCTTCTCCTCCTCTCTCTCTCTCTCTCTCCCTCTCCCTCTCTACCTCCACTCTCTCTCTCTCTCTCTCTCTCCTCTTTCTCCCCATCTCCCTCTCCCTCCCATCCTCTCACCTCTCTCCCCCTCCCCTCGCTCTCCCTCTTTCTCTCTATATACATATATATCTCCCTCTCTCCCTCCCTCCCTCCCCCTCTCTCTCTCCCCATCTCTCTCTATTTGTATCTCCCCCTCTCCCCCTGATATCTCTCCCGCTCTCTCTCCCCCTCTCCCTCTCTCTCTATCTCCCTCTCTACCCCTCTCTCGATATATATTTCTCAATCCCATCTCCCCCTACAATAAGATTATCGAAATATAATTATTCGTAACACGAATGAAATAATTCGTATCGATCGCATTTTACAAAGATGTATGCATTAGATTTGGTTACATTACGAAAATGGTCTTTCGACAGACAGATTGACAAGTTTTCAACCCTCTTTAATTATTTCTTTAGTGGGGGCAGATGAGTTTTGTACAGTGACATTCAGCATGCCTCAGCTGGATCCAAGCGAATACCTTGAGATAGTTGTATAAGTTAGCATAATTGTACACAAATGTAAGGAAATTGTCAAAAGCTACAGTTGTATAGTTTATTCCCTTACATTTTGTGGAGTATCTCAATGATCCGTCATATAAAATATCAAAAGAAAGACAAAAAATAAATGTAAAATTGACACAAAATTGAAACGAATATACTTTGAAACGAATATACTTTGAAACGAATATACTTTGAGAAAGAACATCCTTTTCTTTTGGTAACACTATTTTATTGAGTTATCCCGATATTCATATGAATTTTCGGGTCGTCATTTACATGTAAAACATTGCATCGGACATGCATATATGAAGCATATCTATGGCAATAAAAACGTGATAAAAATCACTGGATCGTTCAAAACTACTTTAAATTCTGGTACTCCCAAAATATTGTACTTGTCAACATCTGGTATGTTATATTTTCTCTTTTATCAAAATATTAATGGATTGAGAACTTTACCAGAGAATCACAATGATGACAATTATATGATAAGAATGGATATAAAAATAAAATAATAATGACTAATTAGAAGATGATTATGATGATTACTGTAATAATAAAAACAATTATAATGATGAAAATAATATTTATAATGTAAATAATATTATAATTACGATTCCTTTACTCACTTATTTATATAGACATGACTTTTAAAAGTTACTATACTAATATGAATACCCCACACCATGTACACATATGTAAATTGTCAAATGTTTAAGCCTACAAGAAAGGAATTATAAAATGTCGTTACGTTAATCACTCTTGAATCCTAAATCACCCTAAATATAAAACAAAACAAAATCCAGAAAGACAGTTTTAGAAGGAATCTGGCTTAAACTGTCAAAACAAAGAAAACGGTTTTGACTAAATAAGAAAGAGGGTATAAGTAAATTATGAATTCACAGTTTGATTGTCTGTGTATACATGTGTCATATATTTTCAGGCATTCGAAATAGTTCTCTATTCCCTAGACCTATGAATATCATATCAAATGTTAATACTGCAGAAAACCGTTTTTGCTTAGGGATAATCACAAAGTCATGTACTAGGCTTCTACAAAACTAAACTTTAGAGGCATGAATCCATCCACTCCAGTAGACTTTCTCAAGCCAAGTGATTCACGGTATTTATGGGGAGGGGTAGGGGTGTGTGTTGCCGCCTCAAATATACATTATGATCAAACCCTTAGTAAAGCCAGTTATTACAGAAACTACTTCGAAATATCACAGTATTAGGCCTCGTTCAGGTCGATATGACGCGACAAAACGATGACGTAAAGTGAGACACGTTTCATATGTGTCTTATAACACAGAGATCAGTTGCATTCAGTTACACATAATTATGATAACTGCATCTTCGGAAGATGGCCACGTGATGGAGAATGGACCAATCAGCGTGAAGCTGATTGATATCCGAGGCAGATTTCAGTATAATTCTGACCTGGGGATATAACCTGTTGGCGCGGAACAGAGAAGAAATAAATTAGTTCCGGATTACACATGTACAACTGCGAACTGGCTGGGACTTGTGGAATGATACCTTCCAGCTCTTTCTATCTCTCTCTCTCTTTCCTGAAATTAACTCTTTTACTCATTTCTGACTGTCTCCGTCTGTCCCTCTCTCTGTCTGTCTCACTCTCTCTCTCTCTCTCTCTCTCTCTCTCTCTCGCTCTCTCAATCAATCAATCAATTCTCTCTTTCTCGTCTTCATGTCTATCTTCAAGTGGCAGTAAAGTTTTCTGCTTCTCCCTCCCATGACGCTGAATCACTGACTATGGTAAGCAATCAATACCTCATACATTTAGTCTCCATTTTCTCTTTCATTCAAGGTATCTCTAAAGCAAAATTTCGATCGCTGGCAGGTTAAATATGAAGTGTTCTTTATAGATTCAAAGTTAATTAAATAAAATTAGACTAGAGGGAAGCCTACTAAAGAGGGAGTTGGGCGTTGTTTCGTCGTCATAAGTGTTAGAGGATGTCGGACAACATCTGCACACTACTCGAAATATCATACTAATAATTCAATATCGAATAATTTTAAACAAATAAAAGGAATTTTCACGAGAGCAGCCAACATTTGTTATATAGCTAATATTCTTAAATGTGTGGGGTACCACAGGGATACGTTTATATGAAATATCAAAAGAAAGACACATAACGTAAGACTTGTTTGGAACAAGTATAGGTGGGCTGGTCAACTAAAATTTGAGACAAAATAGAGCAAAATAGGCGAGATACTGCTTTAAAATTCTTAAAAAACAATACCATGGAGATTCATGACGTGAACGAAATTCACCTTCTATATAGGCATAACACACAAATTATGAAATTTCTGACACGAGGCCTTTAATCGAAATTTTCACTATGATGACGTCATCAAAATGAAAAAGGTAAGAACTGAGCTTGTAGAGAATTGTCTTAGCTACAACATATCGAAATTTTGAAGAAAATCGATCAATATTTACAGAGATACAATCAACTTTCCATATATGCTGACATAAAAATATGCAAATTCTTATTTTGAGTTCCAAGGCCATTATAAAAATGTCACGATACACTTAATGGCCAAATGAGACATGAAATCATATCTCTGACTCATACTCTAGCTAAATATGAAAAAAAAAATGAGGATCCTGGTGCATTATTGTGATTTCTCTATATGCCTATACATATGTGTGCCTAATTTCAAGTTATTTGATTGATCCATTTTCAAGTTATCTTGCTAACAAAAAAGTGGGAAGAAATGAGAAAAATAAATAAATAAAAACAATAATAAAGGCAATTTGAACAAAAATATAAGGTAGTCTGTAAGATATATAGCGCCCTTCAGTATGCCAGCCAGTGCATCCTCAGCATCTGTTTCTGAGATGTTCCCAAGGTCAAGACTGTTATCTTTTGCAGGATTGAACCTCTGCTTCTGTGTCTTCTCCCTTATGGTTCCTACAGAGGTTTGATCATTACCATCTTTCAGCAAGCCATTGATCTCTTCGCAAAGGAATGTGTGAGCAACCAGACTGTCAGTCTCGAGACATCCCAGTCTAGCATTACTCACTAGATCTACCGAACTACAAATACTCTTGATCATCTGTCGGTCTTTCGATATCTGGCCGCTGAGGGTTTCATCAAAACTACGCTCCAGAGAATCAATCTTCTCAACAAGTACACGTCGGTTGTCTTCTAGTTGCTTGACCTTGGTACGACAGGCTTGACCGACATCTTCACGTAGTAGCTGAAGGGCAGTGTGTCCTTCTTGATGATGCGTCTCCACAGTCTGGATGTTCTTCTCCAGTTCTGATTGCTTTGCTTTACAACGATGGAGAAGATCACTCACCTGAAGAACGAAAGTAATGGGGAAGAAAAATGAATGATTCTCACTTGAAGGTGAAATTTTAATCAGATTCTTTAATCACCACCATAAAGACTCGTTCAGAAATGACGCGGCAAAACCGTAAACTGTGATGCGCTTAACTTTGCTGTATCTTATAACACAATGCTTGTACAGTGCGTCCCAGAAAAAACGAAACCGAGAATAATTGATGTTTTATCTTTACTCGATCACAATTATAATGAATAAATGATACATATTTGTAAGGCTTAGAACCTCCTCTTTCATTTGAAGAAACTCATATGATGCATTTTTCATGCATGAGTGATTAAACACAATTTGAAGAAAAGGTACCAAAAAGTCATTTGGCCGGCGGTATCTGAATCTCAAAGAGAAAATGCCCTTTTATATGACACCTCAATCTTGAAAATGAGCCAGGAATTACAAAGTTCTGTTTGTTTAAAGTAATGCTTGCATTTCCATAATTTGATTGAACAAATTTGTTTTCACTGGCTGCCTGGCGTAGCGACAAACAGAGTTGACCAAGGAATTAACTCTGTTTCGTTGACAACCAGCCATGTATCAAGTCTTGCGTCTTCTTTGTGCATGGCTGATCGTCAACAGCACTAATATTCTTCGGCAAGACATTACACCAGTCAGGTGTTAATATCGACTGCTTTAGAGGCCTGGCTGTTTTATATGCTTAAGGAAATGCGCGCACCTCCTGCCATGACCCTGCGCCGCGCCTGGGTGGGCGGTGCGCCGAGGGGTCATGGCAGGAAGTGCTAGTTCCCGAGAGCATATAAAGCAGCCAGACCTCAAATATTAAAGCAGTCGATATGTCTTTTATATGCCGAATTGAACATAAATCTATCAAGAATTCTTACTTTATCCTTTTATTGAGTAAAGATTGGTTAAAACATCACAGAAAATCTGAGACACTGTCTGTAATCTTTGCTTGAAAAATGACTGAAATTTTCAATCATTTAGGAATCGCAGACAAAAAGCACTGTATGGTGTCTGGCTCGCACAAAGAACATTTTAACACGTAAACCTGGGTATCGCAGCAAGTTTTTACTATTTTCATGGTAACTGGAATTTTTAGGGATCTCACTCTTGGACTTCCAAGTACTAACCGGTATTGGCATTTTTCGTTTCATTACAGGAATGGCTAAAATCATGACTCCAATTTCGACCAATCAGATGGCTGGATTTCTTAAGTGAAGTATATAATTTGAGGTATATAATAAGATTTATTCCATGAAAGCACAAATCGTATTGTCACAAAACGAGGAACAGTTATTATAATTTCATTTGGCAACGGTGTACATTTGGGTAATATGTTAAGAATAAAATATATTCGAGTGAACAAGATATTAAAAACCATTCATGAATGACCTGCAATTGGACTACGTACCTTAACCTGCATTTCCTTTTTGAAGTCCTGATGTGATTGTATCTTGTGATCTCGATGATCAACGATGGCGCACTTGAAACATACGCGTACCTTACAATCCTGACAGAACATGTGTTTGTTCTCTTGTCTGTGGGCGGAACATTTCTCGGAGCGACTACCAGGTTTAGAATTTCCCTCAATGATATCATGGATAGATACGATCTCGTGACCTTCGAAGAACATCTTCATTTGTTTGTGGCCAACACGGCATTGCTCACACATGTATGCATCACATGTAATGCAGAAAGCGATGGCCTCTACCTGGAGGTTGCAGACAGTGCACTTTTGCTGCATCTCCAAGATGGCACTGGCCCCTCCAGACCTGACACGGTAGTCGTCCACGAGTCCGTTGACCGTCACATTGGGGAGGAGATCGTCGACTCGGTTTGAAGACAACTTTGTCACTGTTCTGCACAGAGGGCAGACCATGTGATCAAGATCCTGGTGGGATAGGTCATATTTCTTGAGACAGGCTCGACAGAAGGTATGTCCGCAAGAGGTCAAGAGGGTTGCATCGTCGAAAATACCAAGACACAGTGGACATGTCAAACCTTGTGAAGAGATCGGAACGTCCTCTTCTTCCTGCTTCTCGGCCATGGATCTAGATGTGATGAGCAAATGGGTGACATATTAGAAAAGCAATAAAATCTGGCGCTAGTGTAGATCGGCGCTAGTTCACGACTTTGACCTGGAACTCCGGCGTGGAGAACCCCTACTAAAACGAAAATCGACTAAATCTTCATCAATTGTTCAAATAATGGTCATGATTAAAAAGTTGTTATGTTTCTTACCTCTTTCGTGTCAATTTTCTTATCTTTTTTGGAGTATTTTTCCTAAAAACGAAGACTACACTTTCTCACAGGATTCATGGCAAACTGCTGTTGAATACAATTGCATACCGAACCGACGGTGGGGTGCGGCCGTATTGATGAATTGCTTAGATTACAGTCGCACACCCGTGCAAGTGCGTTGGTAGGAATTATGTGCACAAGGTACCTTTGAAAGGTTTGAACCCACAAGGCGCAGCCGAGTGGGTTTAGACCAAATTTGAAGGTACCACATGCACACAATTCCACCGACCCACAAATAAAACATGTGCATCATCTGCAAAAAGAACTTGTTAAAAATCTAAAAATCTGTTATTTTACAGATTTACCGGAAATTACCCGACACATGATTTTGCCATAACCATGCATCCGGTAATTACCGGAGAGCATGATTTCATGAACTTACAGTATCATAAAATTCAAAAATAAATAATTAAAAAAATTGAATGATAGAAAGAAAAAAAAGTATTACACAATTAATTTTAATTAGTCTGGATCTAGATCTAGACCTATAACGATTACCCCCCCCCCCCCCACAAAAAAAAGTCTAGATCTAAATCTAGAAACTAGGAAGAAAAGAAATATATAGACTCTATAGAGGTCTAGATCTAGGTCTAGATCTAAGAATAATATTTTGTTTTAATAAAGTCTTTTTAAAGAAATAAATTAATTTATTAGATAGACTAGATTAGGTCTAGATCTAGGTCTATAACGATAACCCCCCCCCCCCCCCCCCCCCCCCAGTTTGCCATGAATCCTGTGAGAAAATGTATTATAGAAAGGAGGGGGTAATCGACCAGCTTCAGTTTTCGGCCGATTGGTTGGATGCATGGTAAAATCCCTTTAAAATACATCGCATAATAGCATATCACATATCCCACACATACCATACCATGCCAGAGTCACTGAAGAACCACATTTGCAATGAAAAATATATCCTAAAATATCACATTTTAGCGATGTAATCGGCGGTCCCGCTACCCGAATCTGAAAAATCGAGTATCTTACGCGTGTCTGTAAGTAATATGGGTACCATAAAATGAGCTTTATTCCCAGTATTTTTCAGATTAAGAGCCCGATTTTGTACTGGTCGCAAGCTCAAAAGTATCTCACCGCATGTATTAAATCAATGCAGCCGGACACCGCAACGCACACACGATATCTCTAATTCAGATTTTAATGTCCGATCACTGCAGTACTAGTTTTCGGCCTGGCGAGCTCCGGCGTGGGATACCTGCTCCGCCCGCTAATACTATAGATCAGCGCGGAAACGCACGGCGCGCTTTCTATTGACTTTGTACATGCGGCCGAAAACTGGTTCGTTATGCCGATAACTGACTCCGAAACAGTGATAATTAAAATGAATATTGTCATGGCAATTCGTGATTTTTTTTCTGGGATTCTTTTCTTGTTTAAATAATAATAACATTTGCTTCATGATTTGAACCAGAAATGATAATAAATAGGAAGTAAAAGGTCAAAAAAATAGAATTTTGTCTTAAGTGGCCGAAAAATCCCTCCTTTACTCATGGCTGTGTCAACCCTCCCGCATTTGGAGGGAGTCTCACGCCAACACGCTCATTCTCCCGCCACCCCCAAAAGCTCGTAGAGGTGCACTCCCGCCACCACGCCTTCCTCCCGCTCTCCGATCCCGCCAACGATGTAGAATCTCCCGGTTTATGAAAAAACCTCAAGCCCCCCCCCCCCCCCCCCCAAAAAAGTAGGTCTATAGATGTGCTCTTACCCCACATACTCCAAAAAAGATAAGAAAATTGACACGAAACAGGTAAAAAAACAACGACTTTTAAATCATGACCTTTATTTGAACAATTGATGAAGAATTAGTCGATTTTCGATATGTTTTAGAAGGGTATCTCCACGCCGGAGTTTCGGGTCAAAGTCTGGATAGACTTCTGAATTAGCGCATAGGCGTCTAGATCTACTTTCGTATCCATTTTTTAGCAGTTTCATATCCATTCTTAGCAAAGGAATTTCAACCCAATGTTGTACTCATTTTAATCATAATCATATATCACATTTTCCACCTGATTTTAGAGCACATCCGACATCGGGAATCCTCCGTTTAGGGCTTCGATGTCGACGTCGTCGTCGCTCCGTACCGTCTACGCTATAGCTCTGCACCTCAAACTGAAGCTATCAGTCAAAAATTATGTAAACTTCTCGTATGACTTATGGTATCGTGCATGCGCGTAACAAAGAGCTAAAAATCTTTGGTCACACGCAGTGATACAACGTAAATGCCAAATAATTGTTTTGTTTTTGTTATTGTTGATGATGTTGGTGGTGTTTAGGGGCAGCGATCCCGGGTGTTCCCGGGGGGGGGGGGGGTGTCGATAAAACTCAAATTTTTCCTCACTTTTTTGTGAAAATTTATATTTTTTTTGCGTTTGTTGGACAATGAAAAATTCCCAAATTTACAGTCAGACAAAAAAAAAAAAAACACTTATTAAATAGCCTACATGTCAGGTCAGGCGCAGGGGGGGGGGGGGGGGGGGGGCGAGCGGGACAAGAGAGACAGAGAAGGAAAAGAAGGGAAAAGTTAGAGGAGAGAAAAGGAAAGAAAGAAGAGAAAGAAAACAGAAAAGAGGGAAAAGGGAAATCAGGGGGGAAGGGCCTTGCCCCTCCCCTCCCCCCCTCATCAATGAAAAATAAGAGAGAAGGAAGGAAAGGGAAAGAAAAAAGGAAAAGAGATAAAGGGAAGGAAAAAAAGGAAGAAGAAAAGAAAAGGATGAAAAGAAGAACAACGTGTGGAACGGGGGCCGAAAGGCCCTTGCCTCCCTCCCCCTCCCCTGCAAACCTAAAAGAGAGAGAAGGAAGGGAAGCCGGGAAAGGGAAAGAGGAAAGAAAGGGAAAGAAAAAGAAGAGAAAGAAGAAAGGTAGGGGAGATCAGTTGCGATGTTTCCCGCTAACAAGGTGTAGATTGGAGCAGGCGCGGATTCAGGATTTATTAGGGGTGGGGCCCAATTGTTTCTCTTTTAGCTCCCGATACATTTGAAAATCGCGCTGGCAGAAAATTCGCTCAGTGGTGGTGGGGAGGGGGGGGGGGGGAGTAGTGAGCACTTTTTTTCTTTTTGGCCCTCAAAAATTCAAATTGCACCCCACCCCCTTGAACGCCAGGGGGGCCGTCTTCCAAAAAAGGTAAAATTAACGGGCCCCCCTACTGAATCCGCCACTGGATTAGAGGGGGGCTCATTGGCTTATTAACGGGGAAGGGCCGGGGACTGGGGACTTGGAGGGGGCAGTTGCCCCTCAATTTACAGTGAGGCAAGAAATATGTTTTTTTAGAGGCCTACATTTCAGGGTCCGCGAGCTACTCCCCCCCCCCCACTTTTTTTAAAAATACATCAAAGAGAAATAAAGAGAAAGAGAGAATGAAAGAAAGAAAGAAAGAATAGTGACCTACCAGTGTCACAAAATAACGAGGTATCAAATATGCTCATCTGACCGAAATTTAATGCCGAAACATCTGAGCTTTTGGAGGCTACGCGTCCTAGACCCCACGACAATTACTGTCCTGCCAGTGTCACAAATAAGGTATCAAAATTTGCTCAACTGACCGTAATTAAACGCCCCCTCCCAAGCTTCCGGGGGCTTTGCCCTTAGACCCCTCGCCAATTTACAACGCTCTACCTGGTCTTTAATACTTTAGCCCCCCCCCCCCTCCTCCCTGAAAAACGTTCCGCTGGGCCTTCAATGTAACGCGTTAGAGTGGTGGAGATGCGGATTTTTGTTCTTCTCTCTCCCCCCCCCCCCAAAAAAAAGAGGAAAGTTTTTGCTTATTACACCACCGGTAAAACCAACGGAATACAGATTTTCTCTCGCATTTCGCCCCCCCCCCCCCCCACCTGGTTATGAACAAAAATCGCAGCCCCTGGTGGTGTTGTTATTACAATTATTTTAACTATTATTTTACGTTTTGTTCGGTAATGAATAAGGTTAGTTTCTGTGGGTGTCATCATTGTCATGTACGCTAACTGCCCACCCGCTAAGGATTTTATTTTAGGGGGGAGGGGGGGGGGTGCGTGCGAATTACTTACAGAGCGGAGTGCGCTCCCTAGGGGTGGGTACAAGTTGCAGGGACCCCTCCTTGTCTGAATTTTCAAAAAAAAATCTTTGTCGGCTCCTTTTTCTTCCTACGTCCTCTTACTTTTGTTATCTTCTCTCTCTCTGTCTGTCTCCCTCTCTCTCTCTTCCTCTTTCTCTCCCCCTTTCTCCCCATCTCTCTCTCTCTATATATATATACTCCCTCCCCCCCCTCCCCCCCCCCCCCCTCTCTCTCTCCCTCCCGTCCTCTCCTTTCTCTCCCCCTTTCTCCCCCATCTCTCTTTCTATATAATATACCCCCTCCCCCTCCCCCCTCCCTCCCCCTTTCTCGATATATCTCTCTCAATCCCACCTCCCCCTACAATAAGATTATCGAAATATAATTATTCGTAACATGAATTAAATAATTCGTATCGCATTATTTTACAAAGACGTAAGGAATTAGATTTTGGTTACATTACGAAGATGGTCTATTGGCACAGGTTGACAAGTTTTTAACCGTCATTAATTAATTCTTTAGTCGGGAGCAGATGAGTGTTGTTCAATGAGAATAAGCATGCTTCAGCTGGATCCCAGCGAACGCTTTGAGATAGTTGTACAAGTTAAAATAATTGTAAACAAATGTAAGGAATTTCCTCAAGAGTTGTCAAAAGCTGTTTATAGGTATCATAATAATAATAATAATAATAATAATAATAATAATAATAATAATAATAATAATAATAATAATAATAATAATAATAATAATAACTAGAATTTAAATCGTCACGAGGACGATTAAGGTGGTCTGAAATATGAGCATGATCCCGGCATCT